ATTTCATTGTTATTGGTGTCACTTGGTTTTTATCATAGGTTGTAATGTTAACTGTTTTATACGGTGGCTGACGTGTACCATTTCATTGTTATTGGTGTCACTTGGTTTTTATCATAGGTTGTAATGTTAACTGTTTTATACGGTGGCTGACGTGTACCATTTCATTGTTATTGGTGTCACTTGGTTTTTATCATAGGTTGTAATGTTAACTGTTTTATACGGTGGCTGACGTGTACCATTTCATTGTTATTGGTGTCACTTGGTTTTTATCATAGGTTGTAATGTTAACTGTTTTATACGGTGGCTGACGTGTACCATTTCATTGTTATTGGTGTCACTTGGTTTTTATCATAGGTTGTAATGTTAACTGTTTTATACGGTGGCTGACGTGTACCATTTCATTGTTATTGGTGTCACTTGGTTTTTATCATAGGTTGTAATGTTAACTGTTTTATACGGTGGCTGACGTGTACCATTTCATTGTTATTGGTGTCACTTGGTTTTTATCATAGGTTGTAATGTTAACTGTTTTATACGGTGGCTGACGTGTACCATTTCATTGTTATTGGTGTCACTTGGTTTTTATCATAGGTTGTAATGTTAACTGTTTTATACGGTGGCTGACGTGTACCATTTCATTGTTATTGGTGTCACTTGGTTTTTATCATAGGTTGTAATGTTAACTGTTTTATACGGTGGCTGACGTGTACCATTTCATTGTTATTGGTGTCATTTGGTTTTTATCATAGGTTGTAATGTTAACTGTTTTATACGGTGGCTGACGTATACCATTTCATTGTTATTAGTGTCACTTGGTTTTTATCATAGATTGTAATGTTAACTGTTTCATACGGTGGCTGACGTGTACAATTTCATTGTTATTGGTGTCACTTGGTTTTTATCATAGGTTGTAATGTTAACTGTTTCATACAGTGGCTGACGTGTACCATTTCATTGTTATTGGTGTGACTTGGTTTTTATCATAGGTTGTAATGTTAACTGTTTTACACGGTGGCTGACGTGTACCATTTCATTGTTGGGGCC